GGTCTTCAATTTAATCATATATATATATACATCGAAGAGTGAGTATTAAAACTAATTGAATAAATGAAATAAATGAATAATGAATAAAAATTGAAATTTTGAATGACATTTTCAAAGTTAAGTGACAATTTTTCTTCTTCTATCTTGCTGTGTTGCAGTTTTACATTTTTACATGAACTGATGAGTCACTTTTAGTTTATTTCATAAGGATTTTTCAGAATTTCTTCTTACAGCAGTTTTTTTCACAACGGTAATTGGATAGGAGGGAATATCAATGAAACAATAAGAGGAAGTAAATAAGAAGACACTAGTTATTAGCACCTTTTGTATACTAGTAAAGCAGACAGTAAAAAAGATCTGCACATAAATTAAGTTTTTGATTCTGAGTGTTTCTTTCCTAATGAAAACTTTGCAGTTGTTTATTTACCTAGGGTATAATCAATGGACAGAAGGTATGTGAAAGAAGAGTTAGAGTAAAAAACTGTATTCTTGAAATATCTCTCTTTATTTTTCTAGCACAGTAACCAAGTTTTTTTACTACCTCTGCAACTAATCTTTAGTTGAAACGAGTCCCCAGTCACTATATTGTTATGTTGAATCTTTTGAAAAGAAGGCAACATTGGGTCGAATGTAGGCAGACTGCTGATTAGAAGTTAATTGGTGGATGGCGACTAGCTGTGGAATCCAGGATAACGCGCATTTCGTCCTGTTTGGGACTCGTCACTGGATGTGCCTGCATTCCCCAGTGAGTGATGATGTTCCCACCGAGGCTTGGACCCAGTGCCCATAGTTTCAAACAACAAAGTGTTATCTACTAGACCGCTTGGGCCATGAGACCCACCATCCACCAATTAACTTCTAATTACATGCCCAAACATCGTCGAAACATCTGCTTAAGAAGCCGATATGTCAACCTGAGACCGAGCACTTCGATCCAATCAATCGATGGGAATATCTTAAAATGAATTAAATAAAGAACTACTGATCAGTTCAATTAGCAAAAGATGAAACCGCTCCTAATTTGGCGATTAAAACTGGACGAATTTCACTCACTTCAATAATGTAAATTAAAATATGAAAACAATTTTGCGTAGGGTTCGGAAAAAGCTAATTCACCCACAGATATATAAGGTAGTGTCATTCAGTTAGAAATATCACCATTTGGCTATAGAATTTAGCGAAAGTAAGGAAGAAATACAATAATATGAGTGACTCCATAGTATGAGACCTGTGTAGGTAGCCTTTCCATTTGATCTTCATTTTGAACTAGACTGGTAATGTTATTCTTCTTTAGTAGGTTTTATATTTATTAACCATAAGGGTGTGCCTTTCGGTAAAGGCTACTGTAGCTACCTCTGTCAGGATCCATCCCTTTCATTATTCATGCTTCACTAGGTCCTCATTGGTCACATTCTCTCTCACATTCCTCCACAACATTTGCGATACTATGCCAGCAGAAGAAAGTAACTAATTAATTTTTTGATTACTTTTTAATAATGTTAGCTGGGAGATAGGCCTATGGTAAAGATGTCTGGATTTACATCCCATTTCGTGACTAGCCAAGAAAGTAATATGGTAGGTTTCATTTTATTCTGAACACAACTCATCAACTTACAAAGAACGAAGAAACAAGTGAGCAAAGTCTACTAGATTTAATAAGATGTCAAGACTGAGAAGCTTCAAATTATAATTGTCACTTCTTTAATTATCAATCCTAAACGAAAAAACTATAGTTACTATGTAAAGGTAGTAAGCAACCATTATTTTAAGTATCATTTATGCCTGAAACACTATAAATATTAGTGAGTTTATTAAGCCACAACCAGGCCGAATAAACAATAAATTGCATCACCTTAAAACCCAGACTAACTAATATACATAAAAATGCACGTTACGATAATTTATTTTGTAAACTGTATGTAATTTGAACTGTTAACATGCTTATTGATTGATAATCACGTAGAATTCAGACAAATGCAGCATTACATCATAAATGTCTGGTTATTTTGCTGCAAGTGCATGAACTACATATTTTTTATTTTTATCAGTTAGTTAGTTTTTCAAAACAGGTAATTAGATGACCTGTTTGTCAGTATGACTGGTTGTATCCACATAAAGCTTACGTAACCCTACCCATATTTTCAGATCAGACAAAAATATGGATTAATGAAGCACTGGGTGATTTCTGTTAAAAGATTAGTGTTATAATTTGTGATGACTATTGACGCGATGATATAATACTAACCTGTAGTAACATTAATTTTGCAAAATAAAAACGGGTCAGTCAAAACAGTCATACAGACTGGTTATAGTAACAAGGCAATGTCATTCAGTAGTTGCTGATGCTATTTTCTAGTTAGCCTATATGCAGATTGGTTACACAAGATGAAATGTTCATATTTAGTCTAGGAGGGTAGTTAAAGTTTGATGCTTGGGTAAATTTTGGTTCGACTCGACTTTTTAGTTCCTGTGGCGACTATACCCTGCATAATTTTAAATATTTTTAACGAATTCAGTAACTCAAGCTAATATTCTCCTTCAGAAACCTAACAAGGCCAAAAACGAGAAGCAACTGTAATTAAAGGAATTGTTATTCAGCTCTAATTCTGGCGGACTATAGCGGATGTTGATCAAAAAGGAAATGTCAGTAATATACATTCTCTAGGAAGACAGCTTTGGGAGTGTAGTACAGGTAGTACTGAAAGATGATTCTTGCTGCTGAAATTTTAGGTCAGAAATATACCAGTGATTATAAAACGAATTACATACTGAAAAAGTAAAAAGGAAACAATGGGGGATGTTTAAGGCGTATAAAAAAATTACGTGTAAAGACAGCTACACAGACTGGAATTATAGCATCATTGAAGCCCTTGATATTTCATTTTAAAAAAGTATTTTGAGGTTAAATGTCTGAACAGATCGAGGATAACACTCATTGTGGTAATTTACATGACTACTGCAAAACTTAAAAGCTCTGCTTCTACTTGATGCTAAGATTGAGCATATGTTGAACTCTCGTCGGAAGAAACAGAACGCATTTGTGTTCGAAACAGTGGTTTCTACATTAACATCTCTCTGAGATGCATATATATATACCGCTGAGAAGTCCGAAACTGTGAGTCAACAGAATTGAAACCCACTGTCAGATGAATTCAGATATAAACAGAACTTGATTCACTTATAGCTGATATTACAATTTTTATTACCAGAAAAAAGTAGCATATTCCAGTTAGGTGGACTGTTTAAGTTTAAGTAAATGAAGTTTATAACAGCCAATGATATGTATGTAGCTATTGAAGTAAAATTCAATCAGGTGGATTACCTACAGTGAAACCGAAAGATAAAAATCATTCCACTATTCCTTTCATAACCCACTAGAACAGTTTAAAATATTTATTTATATTTACTCAGTCATTCATCAGTAAATATTTTAAACTGTCCTATTGGGTTATGAAAGGAATAGTGGAATGATTTTTATCTTTCGGTTTCACTGTAGGTAATCCACCTGATTGAATTTTACTTCAATAGCTACATACATATCATTGGCTGTTATAAACTTCATTTACTTAAACTTAAACAGTCCACCTAACTGGAATATGCTACTTTTTTCTGGTAATAAAAATTGTAATATCAGCTATAAGTGAATCAAGTTCTGTTTATATCTGAATTCATCTGACAGTGGGTTTCAATTCTGTTGACTCACAGTTTCGGACTTCTCAGCGGTATATATATATGCATCTCAGAGAGATGTTAATGTAGAAACCACTGTTTCGAACACAAATGCGTTCTGTTTCTTCCGACGAGAGTTCAACATATGCTCAATCTTAGCATCAAGTAGAAGCAGAGCTTTTAAGTTTTGCAGTAGTCATGTAAATTACCACAATGAGTGTTATCCTCGATCTGTTCAGACATTTAACCTCAAAATACTTTTTTAAAATGAAATATCAAGGGCTTCAATGATGCTATAATTCCAGTCTGTGTAGCTGTCTTTACACGTAATTTTTTTATACGCCTTAAACATCCCCCATTGTTTCCTTTTTACTTTTTCAGTATGTAATTCGTTTTATAATCACTGGTATATTTCTGACCTAAAATTTCAGCAGCAAGAATCATCTTTCAGTACTACCTGTACTACACTCCCAAAGCTGTCTTCCTAGAGAATGTATATTACTGACATTTCCTTCACGTTCCCCAGTGGAACATAGAGCTTCAAGCTAGTGGCTTGAAGTTTCTGTAGCAGTGTTTATTTTACACGATGGGTTTGCTAGCCTCATGCCCAACCTTTCCTCTTCACCAGCATTATTTCTGACTTAGCAAGGTAAAGGAGTGCGTCGGCCGGCGATCGAACCCCGGACCATGTGCATGGACGGCGAGCGCCCTAACAGCTATGCCACCGACTCATGTGCACTACATTATTCAGTATTAATTTACAAGCTTAACCTTAAATTGTCATTTTCGTTAGGTCATCCGGTATAAATACTATTTGCACCAATACTGAACGCTTACTTAATTCGCTTACTCAAATCCGAGGGACTCAACCACTTCATTATTTGTTATTTCGAGAGAAAAAAGTCATCAATCACAAGTCATCTCTTTGTTTAATTTAGTTAGAAAAAAGTAATAGAAGTAAATCAAAATATAAAATGATTAAGATTAATAATTATAAACTCAAATCAAATCAATTCTTCCATAGTTGTATAATACAGTGTAAATATTCTTGTTGTATATGTCTATGCAAATATTGCTAGAGGAAATCAAAAATTCGTTAGATTCAGTGACAGGATAATTAGAGTAATACCTGAGATTCAGACGGTGATTATCAAATAACCGATATACGAAATAAATGCAAATGTAATCAAGAATGAAAATGAAAGTCTAGAAAATCTATACAGTTATTGTCGTATTATCAGGACTAATAACAGTAGGAATGAGTGAAACATCTGATCACAGGTAAAAGTGAATAGAAAAAAGATTTAACCAAGTAATAAACGATGCATCATTTAATTTGTACATTTAGTGTGAATAGAATTTGATGGACGGATTGAATATCGAAGTTTTCTCGCCCATGTAAAACGACTTATATTTGCATTATTATTAAGATCGAAAATTGAATGCGAGGATGAACTACAAGAATCCTGGGCAACATTAACTGAATCTTTAGTTTTTCTACATCTACTCATGGTTTCATTAATTCTTTTAGTTGATTTCATGTCTATTTGCCTTTCTGTAATTAGAGAAGGAAGTATTGTTGGTTCTACAGTATGTTTTGTTTTCTGGTGTACAATGAACGATGAATCTGGGTTAAGCGAACGGCGTATAGAATGTGTTGCGACTTTTGAAACTGCACGTCTGATCAGAGAAAGTGGCTTTAGACTTAATCTTCCCTTCAAGCCACTGTTTGAGCGCTTCAAAGTAGATAATTTTGTAGACTGAACAGAATCGGCATAAGTAGGAGTTCGGAAAGATAATTGGCTGTCATTTCTCTGGTATTTCTCGTGACTGTTCGGATTCGGTGAAAGATAGCAATTTGAAATTGTTTGAGGATGAAGTCTTTCATCACTTGCAAGGTTTACTGATTGAGTTGCATTACTATAATAGACAGATGATTGCAGAAATACTCGGTCATTTTTGCTATGAGAACATGATTCAGGTAATTCTGTACCTGTGTACAACGGAAGATTGTTTACAATTAAGTTTTCAGAATGCAAGCACTGGCAGACTGATAATTCAGCTGGTCCATTTTCTGATAAACAACTACAGATACACCTAGCAGAAACCGATACCCCAAAAGGTTGTGTATTAGTAACTTCCATAAGAGGGATAGGTGGTCTTCGCCCTCTTTTGTTTGTACTTCGTAATGAAACTTTAATTTTTGAAGTTTTCTCTGAATTGTGCGCTGAGGGTGTATCAGTATATTCATCCAAGAAAGTTAGACTGACTTCATCGAACTGACGATATGTGGCTTGATTTTCTTTTCCATTAAAACTTGCATTTGGTGTAGAGACCACCTCTTCGTATGGTGATGAATTGGTTGTTTGGGAAGATAAACACGAACACCCAGATGTAGACCAGTTAGATGAGGAAGTATTAGATGAAGTAGTTTTCTTTGGCACACACTTAAGACAGTCAGGATTAGACATTCTTAAGCTATCAGTGTATGGTACAGATGCAGAGGAGTTGTTTAGACCAATACCAGATGACTGTATGGTCACACTTGTTGGCTTTATCTTGAGATTTTTCAGCTTTCCGTCAACAGAATAGCTAGGATGAAAAAGGAAACTTAGGGTTAGTAGATAGTCGAGGAATTCAAAGCTTAAATAAACAATTTTTACTTTTCATCCTCTATCCATAGATATTTTATCTATCTGTATATATAGAATATTTAAGCAACAGATGGTAACAGTAGGTTTATATAACTAGAATACACCAGGATTTGAATAAATACTTTTAGAAGTGTAGTGAAGCTCACCTTTCAGATACTGCACATTTTTTCATTTTATTTTGACCAGGTAAGCAGTTACTAGAAAAAACTCTTTCAGAATTGAAATGGGGGAGAGAGCGAACTCGCGCAATTTTGTTCAGTAAACCACGAGGTAGACTGAATGTGTCGTCAACAGAAAGAATGAATAATTCTGATGATAGTGATTGACATCGTTTATGAGTATTAACAGTATATTTTCCTTCTCTATCTCGAGTAACTATGCGAACAGCATCAGGAATCTTAGCTGCTGATGCTTCTGTTCCATCAAGAGAAGTACGCTTCTACAAGAAAAGGAAAACATAATTGATGATTATACGTATACAAAAGCAGAGATAAATAGATAATTTATCTTTCAATCTATTACTTCTCCAACGCACATATCATTACTCAGTCAACAATAAATTTCATTCCACTATTTTCTGTGTTTGTATGTCATCATCAGGAGAAGTACCTTTTGACTTTTTAGCCATTTATGCGTTTTGTTCAACTATCTGAATATTCAAGTGACTTATTACAATAATTATTGTTCATTTTTTATTGAACATTAGTTCCTGATGAACTGGCTTTCTGAAGTGTGAAAATCAACCGGTGTCGGTGATTTTTTGTTAACTGGCAGGCGATTTCAGTGATCTGTCACAGGTTTAGACTTGAATTGTTTAACTCCCTCAGTCTCCCTGTTTCTGTGTGGTAAAATTAAAAGTGTTTTGGAATTAATTCACTTTAACATTACTGTTGAAGTATAACTTACCAAGGGGTCTACTGTTGCTGAATTCACTGAATGAAGATAATTGCTTTCATATGAACTAATGTCAGTACTTCTTTCAAACGGAATAGCTGTGATTCCTTTTTCACAACTTGCATCCTTTTTTGATGGCGTTTTGTTGAATGGATTCGGGGGATTGGATTCTGGATCTGTAGGGAGTGTATCCCTTGTCAAGAAACACTTACTAGATTCAGGAAATCTGCACTCTAACTTTTGAGATAAATCTTTACGACAGTCCAGGGATCTTCGCAATGAATGATAACCACTTATCGGTCGGATAAATGTGTGACGCGCAGGAATGTTCTGTAATCTCCTTCTGATAACTGTAGTTGTTTTTTGTCCTGTAAAACAGTCTGGACCAGGTTTTGTAGGTATATTGGAAACTTTGTTATCAGTATTTCGTATCACTGGTGAAGAATAACCATGGCAATTTGTTTCATGTTTTGATAGCCTGTGTGATGTAATTTCATTACCTGTCCAATTAGAAGTGCTCAATTTCAAAGGGTTCCATGTTTTTCGACGTCTGAATGCTTGCTTTTGTATCAGTTTCTGAGCTGAGGAGGTAGTTGTTTGATTTTCGCTTTTCTCATCATTTGATAACAATACAGTTTTGATGTGATTTATCTGCTGAGTTATATCCTTTAGCTAAAAAAATCAGAAAAATCAAAAAAGGTTATTACATAATTTATTGTATTCGACTGTGCTAGTAAAAAGCCTTATTGTTTTGTATGCAACCATGTGTTTTTAATGTAAACTGTTATATACAGACCAATGTGAGATGAGGCAGACTCCATCACACAAATAGAAGTAATTGTTACTGATACGTCTACACAAATTAGAAGGCTGCTACAGTACCAGTGAATGATATACATAATAACTTCATTGATAATGTTTTAGCGCTTGAGTTAATGAGTCTTTGTTTCAACTGTCAGTGGAAAAATTATCACACTGAAATGAAACCTGGACATGAATACTCGTTGAACTGAAACTCACTTTTCATGAGGAACTGTTAATTATACCATAAGATAATAGTAGTCAGTATTTTGATGAAGTAAATCGCAAATATCCTTTGAGGAAAATAAACTTAATAAGTCGGTATCCATACAAGGTACAAAATGTTTAAGAGTATTTCATTGAAATATATGAAGACTCATGTCAAAAAGCTAGGTAGACAACTGTTGATATTCAGCTGACAGTATACCGAAATAAGGCCTGCTTAAAGCCATCACAATGTATGGGATTTGCTCCACTACACATTGTTTCTATCATCCATGCACTTCTACGAATCTCAACCATTTCTCGCATACCACCATGCATTTTATGAAAGTTAAAAAAGAGCATTATAGGACTTCCTAGCATTCTTCGGATTGAACAATATCGCTTCAGATGAAATATTATTGGCCGTTACGCTATCTGAAGATTTTCCAAGGAAGAGAGGGTGGGAGGGAAATACTTTGCAGAGAAACAAACTGATTATTCTGTATTTTGAATAAACGAACTTTTCAGAGTAAAGCTATTACTATCATTACACTACATTTTATTAAAGTAAGCTGGATGGTTAAACCCATTCATAATCACAGCAGGCATCAAATGACCTGTGTATAATCCTACCTAACTTAGGAAGCTGAAGTCGTTGAATTATTTAGTATTTCATGTTATCGTGTATGAAAATAATTTTATGTAACATGTAAGGTAACATAAGGTAGCATAAAAGGTTTCGCATAGAAAGTTACCTTTTTAGAATTGGATTTGTAAGCAATTTTGTAAGATTCACATTTTGTCTCCTTTGCTCTTTGTTTATGTACGGAGTATAATTGGGAGATAACAGCAAAATCAACTTCAAGGCGTTTTAATTCAATTTCGTAGGTAGCGCGTCTGATATCTTCAACATTTTCATGCGAATCATTTGATGATTGAAAGTTGAACTGTAAATGCTGTCCTTCACTTTCAACGATTTCCTTATTTATTGAATAATTGAACTTCATGTTGCAATTGGTAATATCATCATCACTGTCACTGGCGTAATTTGTGTTATGAATATTTTCGTTATCATTATAAAGATTAGCGTTAATATTTGTTGATGAATTACTCGATAAATCCGATAATATAACACGTGCTTCATTTTTATTTTTCGCATTCTTCAGTGACTGGTAATCACGACTTAATGAAACTGCTGTTGGTGAATAGTCAGTTGACAGAAATGAACTATAATCAGATATTGATGTACTCATAGTCATATGCTTCACACGATAACATTCTAACGGAGTCAATGAATTCTCAATTTTTGTATCTTTACAATATTGACGTTTATTTAACGGAAAGCTAACTGTATTATAATCATGTGTAGATGAATTCAAATTAGAACAAGTATCAAGGGAACCAATTAAATTGTTTAACTGTTTATTTGGAAATAATTCTGTACTAATACTGCGTCCAAATGCTTGCACTAAACGTCTAGCTTTACTGTGGTAATTTCCAGTAACTTCCTCATTTGACAGTAAGCAGTCACCGATTACTGTTTGAATTTTACTTGGCCGTGAACGTATTGATGATCTCCTTGTAGACATCATATTTATCTAAGAAGGAAGAAAAGCAGTACAAAATTAGAGAATTGATTTCTTATCCTAATTATACGTGAAGAAACATTTCCATGGTGAAATCGTACAATCGGAATAGACATGTTAATCTTCACTTTTCTAAACTGGCTCATTTGTAATTCTATAAGATTATCTATTCGCACCAGATTTCGCTGAACAGCTATTCAATTAAATTGTCACTATAATTTTAGTTTATTAGCTGAATCAATTAGCCAAAAAAGTATGATATTTTTATTATCCAGTAGTCGACACTACATCACCTTTGAAATTCAAGTCCTGGAAGAAAGTGGAGTTAAGTGCGAGCGAAATGTAAGGAGAATTATATATATATATATATATATATATATATATAATATATTTTTTATTATAGCTTGAAACCATACAGTATTTTTTGTACAGGTATGGAATTTTCAGCATGTGATATCGGTAGCCCAAATTTTGCAGGCTGACCATTGATATCGGGTGTGCGCAGGCAGGGGATCGAACCTCGAACCATGTGCATATATATATATATAATACTGAGGTTTGTCACAAACTTAAGCGTATCATTCAACTTACCAACGGTGAGAATTTTCTTTTGTTTTCTAGATATTCATAATATTCTGCTTTCGTGCTTACCGTACTGACTTTGTGTACTAATAGATGTGATAAAGGATATGATGTGTTTTTCAAGGGTTTATTGCAAATACCAAGTTCACTGCATAAGGATTCATAACCAGGTGGTACAGTTCCGGTAATCGACTGTAAAATAAATATATAATTGAGCACAATGATGTGAATCTAAGCATCAATGTACAAGTCATTATAAACAAAATGATCACATAACACTGACTAAAAGATTTGCGTATGATAACTGGATTAGCACACTTGTTGTCTAACGTCAAAACAAGCAAAAACGAAAGTCTAAATCTTCAAGTTATCGCATTGTATTTGTTGAAAATTCTTTTTTATCATCATAGTTTGTCAGACCAAAAATATGACATACATATAAGTGGTTGGACACTTGAGTGCACAAAAGTGAACATATCATATGCTTGAATAAACGCAAACTCAGTGTTTAAAGATGTAACTTGATACCTAATTAACATTATGCGAATAGCATTGTCTGAAACTTAAATGTAACCATTCTTGAGTGGTTATATTCCACTTAGCCCTAGAACTTCAGGGAGCAATACAGTTTGAAATGGGTGTATAATCTTGTAATGATATATACATTTGCCACAAATATGTCAAATATCACCAAAAGACAATCACATGTCTGTGAGATTTACTGCTAACTCTGCTAAAACACACCTACACAAGAAGCTGTTATAATGTGAAAGTTGGGAACATTAACTTACCCATTCCTCGTGTAATAATTTCAACAAATCCATGTTTAGCTGTTTTAAGCGCTCAACAGTTTCAGTCTGACGTTGAATTAATGACTGCATTTGACTCACATCTGTAGAAAAATTAGACAGCGTCGATAAATCATAACCATTTTGTGATTCTGTCATGCAATCTAAAAAACAAAGTGAATAAACTGGTAACTAAAACATATTTATCATGATGTAATCCAAAACTCTACACAAGTTTCCGTTCGCCATCAGATCAACAAAAAATATTTGACAGTTGAATTTTAGATTAAATGTGTTAGATAATCACGTGTCCCAAAAGCGGGTTGATAAAGGGAGTTGGAATCACCGAAATATATGAACCAACATGAAGAATAAGTAAAAACTCATGTCAACCGATGATGGGAAACAAACATGGGAAGAATATCTGGTGACATAATAATGAAGAAAATTATTTCTGCAAGAAACATTGCAGAAAACAGACAGAGTATTCATCTAAATAGATTTCTATTAACGCTGATTTATACCTTTGATTAAAATTAAAGATAAAATAATTTTTGTAACAAATTTTGTTCAGCTGTCTGACTTCTCCGAAATAGATAGAAGAGTGAATTTGAACTATGTAAGAGAGTGTTCTAAAAGTGTCCCTTTACTCGAATTAAGACAGAAAGCAAGCAGACAATAAATTTTACACTGTCAGATAATTTATTCACTGTGCTGATGAACTGATATTCTCGACTTCGAACAGATTGGCAACAGGCTCTAATCCACAACCACCTACCCCATAAAATAAGTACGGTTCACTAATAAATGCTTAGAGCAGTTGTTAAATACCATCCCTTCTTTTCTTGTACTCCCATTCTCCATTTCGTTTTATTTATTTCAGGGCAGTATTTATGTACCTGTCGTTGGAGACGGATGTTTTCCATGCTACATAGTGACAGATATTATATTAATAAAAATCAGTCCAACACCTCATTTACAATATTTCAGAAGTAACTGAGGTGGTACCCTAGACATAAAAGATACAATCAAGAGTCAGTCTGACATCAGTACGAAAAGAGATCATTCGGAATCAGACAAACAAAAAGAATTAAGACCGCTTGGGAATAACTTGTTCACATTTAAATGTCTTAGGTAATAATAATTTTCCAAGTAGTTCAAATTTAATCGATGCCACACCATGGAATGAAAACGAACACTTATCCTATTCAGTTATTTAGTTTTATCTAGCGAAAATTCCCATTTATGATGCAATAGTTTTCGATCATTTAACGACACCTAGACAACACATTAAATAATCAATTGGACGTTAAAATAGTTTATTTTCTCAGTGTTTCATCTCGACATCACATGCACCTTCATTTATCCTGATATTCAAGTGTTTTATAAATACAAGGTTATTTCATCATTAATGCTGATCAATAGCACTTACCATTTGTTGATCGTGTTTTATCCAGTGAACTGGACATTGTCTCAAACGTATATTTGTCTTCAGAAAGCGTATACATTGAACTGTATTCATCTGATTTATTCATTAAAGCTCCACAAAACTGCTGAACATTTGACTGACATTTGTGTGTATTAACTGGGAGAGTGTTATACCCAGTACGGCTATAAGAACTAGAACTTGGGGATATTTGATTGGTATTTGCAGAATTTTCATTATTCTCAGTACAGACAGTAATCTATAGTTATAAAGATAAATTAATCACTATAAATATATGTAAACTTTAAATATAGTTACCATATGAATTCATTTGAGAACTCACATTACGGAGAGTCTACAGTTGATGTCTAACAACCTTAAACGCCAATTCCCTAGATGAGTTTCAAGAGTACTTCAGTTAACTTTCTATGGCTTTATTTTTTAAGTTCCAAATCGTACCTCATACACGACAGTTTTAGATATCAAGTTAACGAGGTCTATGTGGTGATGTGTTTGAGCTGGGAAATTATTAAATAATCTTATGAGCCACACATCATTCAGTCTATTAAGTATTGATAACCGAATATGCATATTTCAAGACAGCTGAAACGTACTAACAGAGGTATTCAGACAAATAATCAACCGAATACAAATCTTTTCTTCTGTCGAAAATTACTTTATAGGTGCATCATTATTGTTTGGTTTCCAGCAAACACACTGTCAACTCCAGTTATGCCGTTTTGTTGTAACTGTAACTACATTAAAATAAATATAAATCCTTTAGTTATTTTAGTATATGATGGGGTCTAAAGAATAAATAATTTACTCCTCAGTTATCTGTCCTATGAGATCACATTGAGATATCACTGGTTTATATCTGGTTTATCCTTAGTGTGCATTCAGTCGTATTATTGCAAGAGTTATGAATTGAACTCGAATGGTTTTTAATTTTGCCATATATATATATATATATATATATATGTATATAAACACCGAGTTATAATCACACGTGAAATGTACTTTATTCACTGATCCATATTTTTTATATAAAAACATAAATAATTCATATCCTCTCCTATGGTTGCATGAGATATCTGCATGACCATGCTGTTTTATGTAGCACGTATGTTTCCCAATTTTTATCGATTTTCCTAGCACACATGGTTGATTCAACACTAGACACACAAACAAGTGGAAGAAAATAAATAGCCTTAATGACAAGTTTGTTTTATCATCATAATTCATGTTTATTGTGCGGACGCCACATACAACAGCAGACAAAATTGTCGTATGAATTAAAATCAGGCGAGGTACTTAAGATACATGGTCCAGAGTGCATTTTTATGCAGATAACGGAAATCATAAATCAATCTTTCAGGTTAACCGCCTACATCGACTGTTTATGTTGCAAACAACACTGACAGTGACTGGAGAGTGTTTTCAGCATCTGATAGGTTTTTCTCTCGTGAATAATTTTTCCGTGTTTCGACTAATTATTACTGAGAAATAACAGTATGTGCAGACAGGAGGATTGACTAAATACACCCTTTAAGTGACAATTATATCTGGTAAAATTGCTCAGAATAACAATACAGATTGAGATATCTGGTTAGCACCTGTATAACACTTAACGTGCCATCTTGTTAGATTAGCATACCAAAAACATATACACGTTAGTTACTCTCAGTGTTTCATAAAGTTAATATCTCTGTATCCAATACCACTTTTAATGCAAATAAGAGAATAAAAATGTTCACCTCTAGATTTTGTCTTAACCTTTTTAGCGGATTCTATTCTTATTATTATTAATATTATATCATCACATCATAGTAGTTCAGAAAAAGAATGAATCATACATCCGGATAAAAAACATTCCAACAGACTGCATGTGATTACTAAGAAATTAAGGGGAAAGAAGAGGGAAACCGAGGAAGATAGTCACCTATTTGACTAAATCGTTATGCAAACGTCTACACATGTGTTGCTGTGCCACTTATAAATGACTACGAAATTTAGTTATCAAAAAAATTATTAAAGGAAATAAACTCCTACAGAGATTTACATATTTCTATGGATGAATAATTGAAGAGACAGATAACTAGCCATGTCCATAAACTATGGTTAAACAACAACAGTTGAAATCAATGAGGTTGGGACATACTGATTTCTATATGACTGTTGCTTGAAAACTAACACATTCTGATAGCCTAAGCCCTAAAGACAATAACATCCACTAATTTGGCTATGGTAATTACTTTCAGTAGACAATTTATTTATTCAGTACAGTACTTTTGACATGTTATTATTCTTCTACAGTAATCCAGTTAAACAAGCGAGATTGATTCATCTGTCATTATCTCAAGGTATCAGTTAAATGAGACAATACCCTCTCTTGAGGAAAACAGAATTTTGAAGCCACTACCATTAACTCCATACGTCGGTGGTTCAGTGGTAGAATGCTTGATCTGGGTTCGATCCCTGGTCGACGTACTCCTATACCCCCTTAGCCGATAGTAGGGCTGGTAAAGAGGGAAGGTTGGGCGTTAGGCTAGCAACCGTACCCCATAGAAATAAAACCACTTCTGCCGAAACTTCAAAGCCTTAGCTCGAAGCTTTGCATTCCACTCTTAACGTTAAGCAATAAACTAAATAAATGATAAATACCATTGATCCCAGAGTATTGTAAAGTCTAACGCTATTTTTCTGAAAATGAAAAGCAAGTCACCTATCAGTTAATATAACTGTACTACACTGTGTGATTTATCAAAAGAAAATCTTATCCATTATGGAATTATACTCTACCACAGTGCCCAAGTTTTATACTTATATCAAGTCACCTAAGGCTATTCTCACATGTAAACCATCTTTTGACTCATACATTTTCATGATAATAATAATAATAATCTCTTTATTCCAAAAACAATATTCCAACAATAGACTTCAACCTTCGCCTACCATGGATTACTTGACCTATTTAAAATGAGTGGTCACTAGTATGTACTTTTGTTTTATGTAACTGAGCGACTGTCATGCATTATATTATTATTGTGAAACATGTTAGTTGTAATGCGGTTGTAAAGAAACTACGAAATGATATGTTCCCGCGAAATTTGTCTTCTAAATGCCTTATGCAAATTTATCTAAAGGACTAATTGCCAATAATATGCAAGACTTGGAGTGGGACATAGCAAAGAACTATCATCTAATGATACGCATATGAATAATATCTGAAGTTATTTCAGTATACATTAATTGAAGAAATGACTTACCTGTGCATTTTTTGCAACTGAACTTTTTAACATATTGCTGTGAGTTATTGTAAGATTACTCATCACTCTACAACGGCGATTAAAACAGTAGTAACAGATGCAGTTTTAGTAATTCCAATATTTGTAAATCCAATGCCAAATGACTTTTTAATCAATCCACTAATTTTATTTGCACATGAAGTTTTAGTTCTACGTTTGGCGTGAAAAGCGACCCCTTCCACCGTCTGTCGCGAGAATGAGTGATAGATTGAAGCAGGTAAGATTTATTCCAATAAAAAAATGCTGAGTTCACAGGAGATCTAGATTCCAGTTAACCAATCATATTCTCACAATATCGACCAATCATATCAATCTTCCCGTCAATGCCGTTTTCAGTGGGCATACTCTTCACTGATTGGTTTATTAAACTGATTTACTTTGAACATTCATCCTGTTTATGTAACCGGGGTAACAGCCACTACGGAGAATTATATTATAAATTATGTTACTTATAGGTTTCCAGGCCGTAGGCGTTACGAACATCCTGGAATAATTTGAGCGCCGAGTCAGATTGATTCATTATAAATTATTTAAATTAATCCCAGCGTGTTAAGAAAATCAAAACAAATTTTTCCGAACGTTTCGCTGTGTAAGCCACAGCTTCTTCAGCAGATTTATTCGGAATCCGAATTTTAAAAATTTCATTTGTGCAACCTTTATTTCTCATTTCATCTATATATCATCCTCCAAGGTAAAAAACAGACAGTGAGCTACAAACTTGCAAATCGTTATCAGACATCAAAATTGTATATGGACATTTTGTTTTTGATTACAGCTTGATTCCACACCGTATTTTCAGTACAAGTATGGAATTTTCAGCACGGATATCGGTAGCCCAAATTTACAGGCCGACCATAGATATCGGATGTGCGCCGGCAGGGGATCGAACCCCGGACCATGTGCATAGTCGGTGAGAGTCCTAACCACTGTGCCACCGACGCACAGATATAATCATTAGTTGGGCAAGTCTTCCTCTTAAAGGACAGAAAGACTGCAAGCAAGTTTACCATATATGAGTGAACATCTGAATTTGACGACTAATTTTCAGTCATATACTTCAAAATCAACCAATGCAGCAATATTAAAATTCATGCAGGAGATTTTTAAAAATATATCCAGTTATCTAATTTTACTGCTATAATTTGAGGAAAGAATACATTTTACTTATTGGTAATGCTTGTCGTTTGGGAAAAACAAATAAAGTTTCTCCAAATAGTCATAAGTGGACAATTTCAAGGGAACACTAATGACTATTTCTCATCTGGAGAACTGAGCAATATCCGATATACACTCTTTGACAGACGAAATACTCACTACTGAGTCTCGGTTCCAACTGGCATGTTGTTATAATCTGAATTATAGAGCGAGAATCCACAGCCTGGCTATTAAGGACTTCGATTCTGAAATATTTAACCCTCCCGGTAATAAGTTATCAAGAAGCCTGTATGGAAGTGCACTAGTTGATTAGCACAAAATATCCACATGAGTCTCCTTGGTACTTAGAAAAAATATTCTGGTTTTAAATGGATGAAAGACACTTATTTATTCTATGACTATTAAAGGACAGACTTTCTTAAACCAGTTAATTGAGCCAAACCTCTCTAACGAAGTAGTCAAATGTTAAAATTAAAAAAGGGATCTATCAACAAAACACCTGTGGTTCTTTTTTCTTCTAAGCGACGATCTTCAGTGTCACTTTAAATAATACATTAGAGCTAACTAGCCTACATATTTTTGTTTCTGCACAATTTCTTGGACTGTTTACATCATCTTTCTTCCTGAGTAGTTGCTGAGGTCATATATACTATATAATTTAAACTAAGTGCATTGTACTTCAGGAAATACATTCTAGTTGAGAAAATCTTCTTATGGCAACTTCAGTTATCCAGTTAACCAAACAGTGAGGTGTCAGTAAAACATTGCCGTTTTGTCTTTCTTTCATTGGGGTATAAAAAAGATTTTTTATATCAAATTACAGTACTTCAGAAAAGTGCATCATTTCAAAAATGAATTTAACATAGATAAAATAATGCTGAAGGGACAAATATGTGTGAAAAAGAAGGAGTAATTCACCACAGATTAGCGAGAGTAATTATGATTTCGAAGATTATCCAAAGTGAATACATCATTTCTGTTGCAAATATTTTTGAATGATGTCAACAATCATCTAGAACTTAACGTATTAAAGACTTTAACAGGGTAACTCAAGCCCTTATAAGTCTCAGTCAGTCGAAAAATTCATAATTAAGTATCATGTTTTGATATAGCAACACCTGATTATTTTTTTGACCAGAATGGGAAACGATGAGTCGAGGGAGTCGGGAGTCGGGTAACATAAGGATCATGTGAGGAAGGAATGAAAGCTTATAAGCACTCGAGGAGCCAGCTAAAACAGATTGCAGAGTATAAAGTGAAATGGAGATGTGTTGCTGAAGCCCTATGTTCTAAAAGGAACTCAAGGGACGAATAATAGAATGTAATATTATATATACGTTGCTAAGCAGTTAAGGAGCTGAATGAACACTTCAAAAAACAATAATACAAGCTTAGACTGCATTGATATAAGGAGACAGAACTTCTGATGATCGATTACGCATGTAGTGTATGTTTTCCCGCATATTTGATAAACTACCTCTTGAAAACAAAATTTTGATAAATAATTTACTCATTAACTATATGACAGAAGTAAAACATCAGATCAGAATAACACAGAAATTTGTGGTCCATCAATAACAACTTATTAGCAAATATTAGTCTGTGACTCTTCTGGTTGACAGCAACGGGACGAATTTAATAACATGGCTTCTGTTTGATTTTAGTTTTTAAAAAAAGACAGGTAAGCAATTAAAAGTAAGTCATCAGTTACACAGTGAAGTCTGAGGTTATTTACTCTGATATATTTGTTTCCTAAATTAGCTTTTGTTGCGTCAATTTACCTATCATGGTAAAAGTTGGCATAGAGCATTTTCTAGGTTTCATTTAATCGATATGAACCGGTTTGTTTTTCAGTTAATCTGAAAACATATTTTATAACAATATGTTCTCCAACAATTGATGCTCAGTCAAAATCTTCTCAATCTTGAATTTATTATTTCTACATTCCTGTTCTCAATAAAAAAAATCATGAAATTCTACATTCTGTTTTCACTTGATATGATTATGAACAGTAAATTGTGCTCGAAACGTCATCAGTAAATATTACTGTATAACAGTGAGATTTTATCAAAATAAATTCCATAATTATACTCTACCACAGTACACAAGTTGTATTTTTATTTCAGTGATTCCTTGTTTAAGCATTTGATGTATTCTTGACTCTCGTTTCAAATTTATCGACACGAACACTTGATGATTATTTATGAGGACCATTTTATTCCATTATTTTTTTTTGTAGTCTAATCATATAACATTTTAATGATGTCTTGACGATAAAACTTTGGATATCCTATGTACAAAGAAGTGACTAACATTAAGGTTGGGAACACGTAAAGCCGGCATACGTTTTGAGATCTTAATAAAAGTAGTGAAATAAATTATTTTCACGTATTGGTTTTCGTAGGGATTTTGTTTGATTGGTTGGAGCATTTCATCATGAGCTGAAATCATTGCCGTTCTCTAGAAGAAAAATTATATATATATATATATGCCAATGGTTTGAGAGATGAATAATTCATATAAAGTATTCTTTCCAGTGTAGTTCTTCAAGTAACATTGTAATAATTTCCATTCATTCATTCTGCATTCAGACCTGGGAATATTTCAACTAAAATACTGAAGTGTTATACAAGTATAAACACAGAAGATAAAACACGAGTATTGATCAGTTCAAAAAATGATTGTGAATGAAGTAAATTAATATAAGTAGTACATCCGGATTTCGGAATAATACCTACAGAAAATCCATCAGAACACATCATGACCTAAGTTGCAGCATTTTAGTCAATTATATTACGTCATCTAACTTACTAATTCAATCTTACTTTAGTTGCTGTCTGATTAACCTTGTTTCTATATTAGATCATTCTTGTATTACCTGATCAATTATCTAAACTTGACAAACCTCATGTACACACACACACACAAATAATTATATATAAATGCGATTGTAAAGCTATGTGAATGAATTCGCCGAAAAGAGTCTCTTCGCTGAATGTCTTCTCTTTTTCATAGAACACATATTGTCTCTGAAGAAAAGTTCAAAAAACTTCTTCAAGAGACAAATGAGAAAGATATTGGTGCAAACAAACAAAGAAAGTAAGCAGTATCAATATATATTTAATTTCAGTGCAATATTTATATTAACTGAATAGTTTTGGATGGTAATCGTACCGAAGAGATGAGTTTCGTCACACTTCAGACTCATCGACTGAATATATTTGTAACTTGATGGATGACATTTTTCCCTATACTATGTAGAATACTGTTTTAATTGTTTCTTTCTAAACAAGAGGCAATGAGAATTCAATTTTGGGAGTGCAGTTAATGGCGATTAAGTAAATAACATAAAAAATGAAAATCAAGCCAGCTATGTAGTTACTACAGAAAGTTTTCCATGTGCCAACTGACAGTGTTCACCGACGTCGAGTAAAGCATAAACAGTAAAGAGCGTACAATTATAACAACACCTGGATACCAGCTGATAAACTGTATATATATATACGAAAATTTCGTGTTAGTAATACATTCGGATAAAATTTAATAAAATATCTGTGTTTTGACTTCAGATATAATAAACTATAGCTACCCAAACGAAAATTTCAAACTATGAGTTTTTGCTATAGGCTCATCCAACTGGTTGATCGGAGTCATTCGGGTGGTCCTTCACTGCAGTTTACTCTAACCCACCATCGTTCACCGGGATGCGGCTGCACTCAGATGATGAATCCCTAATAGGACAAGTTGCGCGTCGTGTATTCCACTGCTGGCTGAAATAAACCAAATATTACATCTGAAGTCAAAAGACAGATATTTTAATAAATTTTATCCGAATGTATTACTAACACGAAATTTTCATGCTGACATGT